ACTCTTGTGGGACACTCTTAGAAGACACTCTTGTGGAACACTCTTGTGGGACGCTCTTGTAGGACACTCTTGTGGGACATTCTTGTAGGACACTCTTGTGGGACACTCTTGTGAGACACTATTGTGGGACACTCTTGTAGGACACTCTTGTGGGACACTCTTGTAGGACACTCTTGTGGGACACTCTTGTGAGACACTCTTGTGGGGCACTCTTGTGGGACACTCTTGTGAGACACTCTTGTGGGACACTCTTGTGGGACACTCTTATAGGACACTCTTGTAGGAAACTCTTGTGGGACACTCGTGTAGGACACTCTTGTGGGACACTCTTCTGGGACACTCTTGTAGGACACTCTTGTAGGACACTCTTGTGGGACACTCTTGCAGGACACTCTTGTGGAACACTCTTGTGGGACACTCTTAAGGGACACTCTTGTGGGACACTCTCGTAGGACACTCTTGTGAGACACTCTTGTAGGACGCTCTTGTGGGACACTCTTGTGAGACACTCTTGTGGGGCACTCTTTGTGGGACACTGTTATAGGACACTCTTGTAGGAAACTCTTGTGGGACACTCTTGTAAGACACTCTTGTGGGGCACTCTTATAGGACACTCTTGTGGGTCACTCTTGTAGGAAACTCTTGTGGGACACTCTTGTAGGACACTCTTGTGGGACACTCATATAGGCCACTGTTGTGGAAAACTCTTGTGGGACAATCTTGTAGGACTCTTGTGGGTCACTCTTGTAGGAAACTTTTGCGGGGCACTGTTTCGGGACACTTTTGTATGACACTCTTGCGGGACACTCTTCTGGGACACTCTTGTGGGACACTCTTGTAGGACACTCTTGTAGGAAACTCTTGGGGGGGACTGTTTTGGGACACTCTTGTAGGACACTCTTGCGGGACACTCTTGTGGAACACTCTTGTGGGACGCTCTTGTAGGACACTCTTGTGGGCCACTCTTACGGGGCACTCTTGTGGGACACTCTTGTGGGACACTCTTGTGGGGCACTCTTGTGTGTCACTCTTATGGGACACTCTCTTGCGAGACACACTTGTAGGACACTCTTGTGGGTCACTCTTACACGACACTCTTGTAGGACACTCTTTGTGGGACACTCTCAAAAGCACTCTTGTGGGTCACTCTTATGGGACACTCTTGTCGGACATTCTTGTGGGACAGTCTTGTGACACACTCTTGTAGGACACTCTTGTGGGTCACTCTTACAGGACACTCTTGTGGGACACTCTTGTAGGACACTCTTGTAGGACACTCTTGTGGGACACTCTTGTGGGACACTCTTGTGTGACACTCTTGTAGGAAACTCTTGTGGGACACTCTTGTGAGACACTCTTGTGGGGCACTCTTATAGGACACTCTTGTGGGACACTCTTAAGGGACACTCTTGTGAGACACTCTTGTGGGGCACGGTTGCGGGACACTCTTGTGGAACACTCTTGTGGGACACTCTTGTGGGACACTCGTGTCGCGACACGGTCTGCCCACACACTAGAAGCAGTCACGCGAGCGTTTCGTACGAGACTTCCTCCAAAAGTCACGCTTCGAGGCTGCAAGACGAGCGTTTCGTACGAGACTTCCTCCTAAAGTCACGCGTCAAGTCTCCAAAACGGAGCGTTTCGTACGAGACCTCCTCCAAAAGTCACGCGTCAAGTCTCCAAAACGAGCGTTTCGTACGAGACTTCCTCCAAAAGTCACATGTCAACTCTCCAAAACGAGCGTTTCGTACGAGACTTCCTCAAAAACTCACGTGTCAAAGTCTCCAAAACGAGCGTTTCGTACGAGACTTCCTCCAAAAGTCAAGCGGAAACACCCATCGGAGCACACACATCACGCAGCCCTGCCAAGCAGTTTCGCGATTCCAGCCCCTCCAAACAACACCCGCTCACACGCCAATCCCAATGTGACAGCGACGTTCACCTCTACCATAACTCACGACCTCGCGATTCCCTGCGCCTGCCACGAATCTTTCCGCATCCACACGTCTAACGCGCACAAAGTACTGCGCCTGCCACGAAATGTCAACTCCGTCACACCTCGCAACCTCACGATTTCCTGCGCCTGCCACGAAAATCGCACTTCCACACCTCAAAATCAGCACAAAGTACTGTGCCTGCCACGAAAAGTGAGAATATCATCTCACATGAGCTTCAACAAAATTTGCGCCACACCACACGTTTAGAATGATTTCGACCCGTTCTGAGCACACTCCCATCCACCAAAATCGCCATTTCAGCTGAGACTTGTCACGAAAACAGAGCTTCGATGCCACACCCTGAAATGCAAATCCCAATGGCACGGCCACATCCAACACCCCAAAAACACGACTCTCCAAACGCTAATCCCAACGGAACTGCGCAGTAAACTGCGGATCTCTCAAACCACTGCGCCTGTGCAGCGAAATGCATCACGCTTCTTGCGCGACATGTCATTTTCATGCAAATCACAATGGAATAGCGTCGCAAACTGACACGTGACACATCCATGAAAAGTCACTTGCAAAAGCTTCCCCCAATGGCAGCGCCTTAGCGTCCTACTGCGAACGGTTGCGGACGGTTGCGAACGGTTGCGGACGGTTGCGGACGGTTGCGGACGGTTGCGGACGGTTGCGAACATAGAAACAACGGATCGCGAACAAGACTCTACCCCCAGACCCCCAGAGTTAAACGAGAACCCTTCGCTACGCATTCGGGAAAAAGTCATGCCGGATCCCCTAAATTCGGTTTATATTTGGTTTTAAATTGCCGCCCTTTCAAGCCGCTACTAAACTACCAACATGGTCGATTTTGGGGGTAGTTTTTTTGATTAGGTTCCCCAAAACTCCACCATGACACGCCGCGCTTACACCAGCAGGCTTTCCTTCCCTCAATGGCACGGACTCACGCAAACGCACTTGCCACCGAGGTCATGCAACACCGCATGGCACAGCGACATCACCTTTCGAAAGCTTTAGCTGTTAGTCTACTGAAGAATCACTATTCTAATGAAGGTTTTTGTAGGGGAAAAGGAAGACCCTTCGATCTGGCGGTTTTTGCATTTTTGATATGAGTTTAATAAAGGATTTTATATAAAATTTTCCTGGATTACTTTTTGGTTTTGAAACTCTTTCCAGGTGACCCTATTTTGGGCCCCCGATTTCAGGGACCCCCTATTAGAAAAAATGCGACCGAGGTTTCCTTATTAGGGGGGGGGGTACGTGTTTTTTATTAGGTGGACCGGATTATTCGTGGAGCACATCTGCCGAGGTAAACCCTGAATGCTGTGTTGAAAAGGGCTGTCATTGAGGCCACCACTCCGTGCATTGCCTCATCTCTGAAGTGACCAACCTAAGACTCGCGGGTGCATTCGATTAGTACCACAAGCCGGGTGCGGCTGCTGCATCTTATCTGCCACCACAGGGTTCCATGCGTAGCAACGGCCGTCGGGCCATTTGAACACACCATAGTGGTGGATCCTCAGCAGCCCCCGACTAGCTGACTGGTTCCTGTTGCGTTGTGGCTCTATTATTCCAAGAACTTCTGAGAGCTGCTCTGGTTGTGTAGCAACCGCCCTCGATATGTGCCTGCAAATGCGACAGACATCACCAACAAGATTCTGGTCACACGTGATTCTGAGGCCAGCACAGCCACTGGCCCAGGTCTTTGTTCCTTCTCCAATGGCCTCGAATGAAGACAGCTTTCTTCCGCTTCGGCTGACATCTTTCACCAGAATCTGGCTGTAAGACTAGTGGAGGTTGGGGCTCAGAATCTGTTCGAAGGATGGTTCTGCCACTGGGATGCTTCTGGGCAGGCCATCTCAGAAACTAACAAATTCTCGTCTAACGGTCTAAGCAGGTACACACCGCATAAGGAAATTATCCAACACGCCCTGTCATCTTAAATCTAAAGCATTCAGTCCACTTTGCCCGGGCCAAAGCATTTTATTCTTTTTTGGGTCTTCCAGGTGTTACATGTGTATACAGCTTCTGAGGTCCCAACGCCGGAAAAATCACCAGTGATGCTGGTCCCATCTGGGAATCGATGGGTTCCAGGCCTGCAGAAGGCATCAAAAAGGTCTTTGAGCAAATCAATGAGGATCAATGAGGCCATAACCCTAGCACAGCAGACTTCTCCCAAAGCCCCTCAAACTCTGTGGAGTCCGCATAGTGAAAGGTACCTCGACCTCACTGAAGGCTACGGCTATTCAAGCATGATTCATGATCGCATGGTTGTCGGGGTCGAGCAGCAACTAAGCAAAGTGCCTTCAAACTCTCCTCCTTTGAAGCTACCTTCCTGAGCAACTGCAAGAACGAACAACACATGAGAAAGCACAAAGAACTTGGCAAGAGCTCAGGAAGCAACAAACCAAGATCCATCCGGAAAGGTTTTTCGGCCATGTCCTTGCAGAAAGTATCCATGGAGGACGTTCAGCACTCTTCTGAACTGAGGCCACCGGGCCTTCCAAGTGGCCATTGACAAACCTCGGTCCCGTCGCCAACGTCGGTCCAACGACGTTGGTCGTTGGACGATGTTCGCGGCGCAAGGACAGCAGTCTTCGAGGTGCCCTGAGCAACAGGCTGCCCCTGGTAACAGGCACCATCCGGCCAGGTCAAACCTGCAGTCGGCCAAAAAGCACGTCATCCAAGCAACCCAAATTTTAGACGCCTCACCAGCTGAGCTTCCCACGACCTGTGCCATGCTGTGCTCCGTTCATCCACTCCCCAACCTTTTTGGTTCTGATGATGCCAAAGCCAAAATGTGCATTTTGATGCCCAGGATTCCCCACATAAAGAAGACCATTTGGCCATGTCATCCGTCCATCACCCCACCTCAGGTCACTGATGGTCAGCTGCGGCAGGTCGCGGTACCCAGTCGGTTTCGGGGTTCCAGCATGAGACCATGCCTCCAGTGGCCATCGTAGGTCCAGCCTGGCGCAAGTCTGGTGAAGCGCATGTGTCGCAACCGTAGACTGGGAACCACATGTTTTGACAGTTTTTGAGTGGAGGACAAAATTTCAATTGGTGGAGTCATATTCCATGCCTTCCTTTGCATTCTCGAAGCTTCCATCCTAAGGCTGATAACTGACACGGTGCTGACTGATCTTTTTCGGCTCTGTTCCGTGTCCAATCCCAACCCGAGGTGCTGACACCTTCCTGCTCCCCGTATCTGAACTCGCCGGTGTACCCTGAGCAGTCTCGAACGGGAGTAATGAAATGGATCAGTGGATCTGCTGTCATAGATTGTACAACTGCCGAGCAACGGTCGCCATTGGACAAACATCTAGTTCCTCGACCATGGAAAAGGCCTTTGCAGAACCTGGTCGCTCAAATCTCTCGTCGATTGGGACTGCTCAATCCAGCCGAGATTGGGACTGCCCGGTGTACTTCTCACCCGATGGCCACGTCCTTATCTACCGTGCTGCTCTTGATGCTCTCATCACGTGTTCAATATATGCCTTGAACCGGCATAGTTAGCGCAATTAAGATCATGGCATCTCGCCACTTCCCCACATCATGTCCTGCACCTGGCAAGGACGCAAGGCGCAGAAGCTGTCCCAGCCAGGTGGACCCAGCCAGGCTGACCCACTCTCCAGAGTATCTTCTTCCATTGGGCCACCGCCTCAGCATGATCCGACAGCATGGAAGCTTGGCTAGCTCCCAAGAGCAGTCTTTTACGCAAGTCAGCAACGGGTTATACGAGGAAGTCAGCAAGTCCAATTCTTAGGGGAGGCCATCGCTATGTAGTCGGTTGGAGGCCATCGCTCTTAGGTTCGAGGCCATTGCTATTAGCTGGGCTTTCGCGCTTTTCACCTTGTCCCCAGATCTGCCCATTCCGGAACTCTCCGGCATACTCTGTGCCATCCTCGGGCAGGGGAGGGGCTGGTGGCCGGGCCTAAACTTAATCATCACCCCCATTAAGTCATTAAGGTCGCTTCGTTCCAAACGTAGAGCCCATCTCCATGCATACGGCCATCTAGCCAAGTCCCACCTTGGCAAAGTGTCGGGCAAAAGCGAGCGAAGTGCAGCTTGGCACACTTTATAGCCAGCGAGTGAGTCACTTGGGAGCTCGCTGTAGCTGTTGTTGTTTGCAAAGACCTGCTCGTGAAAATCTTTCTGTCAGTCACTTCTCCCCCTTTCTCCTTCTCTCAACGTGCCTTCGCTTCATTTCTGCCAGGGAATCTGTCAGAAGCGCTCTTCGTTCGGGGGGAGCCTGCAGACTTCCGCAACCATCTGCATGCTTTTAGCGTCTTACCAAAGCAAACAGCATCCCACAGTCTTCAACGGCTGACGAAATTTGTGCCAAAAGTCCCCCCGCCGTTTGGCAGGCGAGAACCCAGTGCCACAAACGGCAGCTACCAGGTATGTACACGGCTCATAACACGTCGAAACTAACTATCCAAGCTCCTTCCCTATTAGGGTCACTGGGGCTGGAGCTGGATCCTGACACAAAAACAAATTTTGTCAGGGTCTGGATTGACAAAAGGCATCAAACTCAGTGTTTGATTCCAGGTGATTTGCATGTCTGTGTGTGTGTGTTGACAGGGGAGTGTAGGGTGCAAAGTCCATGGCTTCCCTTCCTCGAAGGATTCAACCTTCCCCCCAGCCAGGAGCATCTTGAAGCTCTCCAGGATTCGGAGGGCCTGTACAACATGCCACCACAGAAACCAATCACAGCAGTGGGACGTCCGCTCGAAAATACTAGCACTAAACACCCCAAGTTTGCTGGCCTCAGCCTTCTCAAGCAGCTGTGCTGGCATTGACTTCCCACTTTCCCTGGCAGGCCTGCACCAAGCTGGTCGACAATAGCATGTGACTTCAACCACAAGTCCCACAAGAAGACTTCACAAAATTGTCACTATGTGGCATTACTTTGGAAATCTGTCATGGCCTTGAAGGTCGTGGAGGTCCTTGGTACTGCCTACATCGTCCAAACTGGTCATAGGCCGTGGGCACCTACAACGTGCGTCCCGTGCAAAGCTCAAAGCACAATTCACAAAGTGGCACAACGACCGGTTCGCTGAGGGCAATACTGAGTGCAGTAGCACATTCCTGCGGCGCAAAACGAAAATATATAAGTGAATGGTCAAGATTCATAATAATGATTGAAAGGTCTGAGTCAGCCTGAGCAGCGGGACCATGAAGAAAAAGAATGGCAACGATAAGTATCCATGCACCATCTGGACGGCAAAGAATGCCTCGCCCCGCACGGCCGTCATGAGAAGCTCAAAAAGGCATGCAGTCTCCACGTTGCTTTTGACGAGTTGCGTGCTTGATGGGCCAATCATCAAGATTCCAATGACGGAGGTGCAATACATACAAGAAAGTTCCGGCACAAATGGCGAAGGTGAAGAGGTCGTACCACAGCAAGTAGACTTGGGAAAGGCGAAAGTCCCAAAAATTCTCTTGAGAACGCCAGAACTCTTGTCCTGGTATTGTTTATGTTGGCAAGTTGGTGTAAAGCGCGGGGTCAACAATCCTCCGGTTCCCTTTGTCAGGGCTGTGGCGACCGTCCATCATGCATGCGTGCAACTGAGCTAGCTGTACACCAGGCAGAACTCAAACCAAATAATGAAGCTGCTGAGACAAGGAACGGATGTATCCTCCCCGCCATCTGGATGACCCTCTGTCGGTATGATCCTGAGCGCTACGCATGGAACGTATGGAACGCCAGGAGAGCCAGCAAGCACTCCCTAACAGGCCATCCTTGACGATTTGCCAAGTCTCAAGGTGCCCTTGCAAGCTGCTGCGCCTTCTCCTCGAGCATGGCAAAAGCAGGAAGGCAATCCTCAGCTGAGCTGCAATACGAGCAGCAGCTCTAGCAGCCCTAGCATGCATGGAGCTGCTTGCGGCAAAAATTCCAAACCAAGGTGATTTGTACCACGTATCCTGCCTTAGCTTCATCGATTCATCCACAAAACCAGCTCACCATGACTGCCCGCGACTGGTTTGTTCAAGATGCTAATGCCACTGCTGCCGGCGCCATGCTTCCCGGGCCCATCTGGGCGCAATCATGTTCAACTTCAGCAACAGCTGTCACACAGTGCAGGTACAAGAAGAAGCCTCAGTGAAAAACAACGACAAAGGCGAAGGCAGGATCCAGAAACAAACGCTTAGACACACCAAGCTTGACCCAAGCCAGAGGCCCACCAAGCTTCGCAGAAAACCTTGTGTCAAGAACTGGAAGCCCTGCCAAGTGAAACATGTGCAAAGGCTTTGTGAAGGTGCAAAACTGAAAACCTTGCGAATCCTCAGGCCTTGAACTGCAGGATGAAAGACACAAGCTGAAATTCATCTGTTTTGTCGATGAGGAGAAAAATCACCAAGAACACCTCAGCAAGTTCAGCAACAAGCTTTTGCAACACCTTCCAACACCTTCAGCGTGGACACCAAATCCAAAGCTCTGCCGAATGACGCATGGACTCACACCATACGCAGGGACCAAGCTGATGAGCGTGAAAAGGATCCTGATGCCGTATGGCAAAATCTAGAATCAAACAGGATGTGCTTCGTGTGAGCTGAGCATCCAAATAGGATCGCGTAGACTTCCCCAAAAGCCTATCAAGCAGTCAATCAGTTCAGCATCGAACTACCAGAGCTACCTTTGCCGTTGCAATTTCATCGATGGCGGACCTCGGTTGTACGGATAGAGGTGGTATCGAAAGAATGCTCGGAGGCAGACACAGCCCTTGTAGTCCTGCAGCTGCATTAATTTTACCACAGGCAGCCTCCAAATACAGTGCAACAATGACACCAGTCCTCAGGATACTCTTCTTTGTGGGCACCATCAATCCTCCTTGGTGCAGCACAACAAGTACGTCACTAGCTACAAATTCTCGTCTATGGCAACAGGGAGATATATATATATATAATTCCATCGTCAAGTCTCAGCGCAAGATCCCACATAATTTCCTGAAGCGTGGTTGTCTGAACCGCTGGAAGGCCCCTTGTCACATGAGTTCATGCACACCATGGCCTGCTCGATGTCTGGCCACACGCCATCAATCGCCGCGTCCTTGCAATCCATGCGCTGCTCTTCGCTCTTCTGGTCTCTCGCACTCTCACCTTCGCTTGCTTCACGCGGCTTGGCATCTCATCGTCGTCAGTAGCCTTGGCGGAACGAAAAGGAGAGCAACCCCTAGAACAAAAGGCCCCTTGAATAATATGATATCAAAAGAATCAAGGACTCTGGGTGGGTGGCTGGGCATTCCCGAAAACTTTCTCAACTCCATATCTCGACTCAATCCTGTAGAAATTGTTCCGTACAACGCCAGCTGTCTCTTCCAAAGGAGGCTAGGAGCATGCTTCAGCAGGCCAGGGATCCGCTGCACAAAAGTCTTCAACAAATTGTGCAGCTTTCGTTTCAGGAAGCCCTGCATGGCAGGAGATGCTATGCCAGTCAACCCTGAGAACGTGTTCACGGCCTTTGTGGCTGTGTTTGGCATACTCCCCAATTGAATTATATAAGGAAATGAGCATGGGAGCAGCTATAGGTGGTCATATGCCAGGGCGGCGGCTCATGGTCGTTCTTGGTACAGCCAGGTCTTAGGAAGAATTGCCATGTCCGTCCATATGCACAAGAAAAGAATGTGAGGCCTCCATCAACTCCTTAAAGCTTTCGGCCACCTTTTCCATTCTTTGCTTCTGCTTCGCCTCGGGTCCGACTCAGCGTCTTCAAGTAAAACTCGCACGACGTCACAGCCCAGCAACTATTCCCGCCAAGTCACAGCTTGGTCAGCTACGCCTGAGCGGTGAGATTTGGGACTCAAGTCTTCAGGTAAGTAAATCAACGCCATTTCGGCCAGGAAATCAAGCGAGGGCAATCGTTTGCGCAGCCCAAACCCGGCTTTTCCTTTTTGTCGCTGAGGGGTTCTATACCACTGTTGGCTCATCTTTTCAGGCTTCGGCTGGCAAATAGTTGCCATCCGGACGGGAGCCTGTCCGGCTGCAATACTTCGTTTGAAGGTGCAATGCTGTTATTGACAGTTTTTAATTGGACGCCGGGTTCTGGCTTGACATGTGAGAAACGAACGGGGCGCACAAGGATATCTGATGGGAAACTGGCTTTCAAACTCCTCCCATGTCACAGGACCCACGCACCAAAAATTAGAATGAACAATTGGAGGTACCAAGTACCAAAAACCCTGTACAAGTACCTGTAGTGACAAAGCAAGTAATGACTGCAGCAGTTGCATTGTATAATCATCCTCGCAAATGGTCATTCTAGAGTTGGAAGAGCCTAGTCAGAGACATCTGATGCCGTGATGCCCTGTCACCCACTGGCAATTTTGTGTCAAAGAGATGGCTTGGCCATCTCTGGTGCAACGGTTTTGCGATGAATTTCATGCAATTTTGGTAAATGCACTTCTCGAGGTCAACTGTCACTTGGCCGCCTTAGCCCGGGATGACCTGTTGGGTCAACAAGCGCACTTGCAGCCTCATCGCCACCAAATCGCTCTTAGAGACTGGCCCTCTGAGCTTCATCAATCCGGTCACCACCTCATCTAACTCAAGCCGGCCACCCATGTCAGCATCCAAGACATCAAAGAGATCGAACTTGTTCGAGACATCCACCTCGGCATTCTCCAGGACACTCAAAAAGACCGGCTCTTCCAGCCACAGCATAAAGCTACGACGGTCCACGGTCACACCGCTACGCTTCAGCAGCTCATATTGCGTTCGCCAAAAGACCTCGGCGCTTTGGCCCACCGAGGGGCTCCGTGCGCGAGACCGAGACCTCTGCGAGCTCCGAGACTCAAAGAGTTGAGTCATCCGAGAAGCCAAACTGCGACGATCCCCTGCCCGCTCCATGACTGATGGGTCGACCATTTGAACAATGATCTTCCTGATCGCTTGCTCTGTTGCAATGGCCTTCTCCCCCAGCTCTTTTTGCTTCCGCCGGGCTGCTGAAGTCGTGGCATTCTCCAGGAAAATGGCCATGATCATATTGAAGATCCCAATAGCCACAAGCATGGTCACACATACATAGCCCACGGTGAAAGGTGTTCCATACATGCTGCGCAAGCGCTCTGCTAGGGGAGCACCATCATAGGCCGCGCATCCATCAGTGAAACAGCGGAACAAGGTGAACATGGAGTTGGGGATGTTATTGAATTCATCTAAGGCACCTCCCACCAAGTTCCGCATCACAACTCCAAAGACGTAGATCACGGCAAAGAGGAGCACCACAGCCCAAAACAGCACCTCACAGCCATTCATGATGCCCATGGTGATTTGGCGCAGCTCTCTGAACATCTTGAACTTCAACACGCGGACAGTCCGCATGAGCTGCCCTAAGCGGAAGACCCGTACAACCGTGACGTCGTCCAGGAAGGGTGCAGCTTGGATGCCAGAGATCTGGATCAACATGGCAACAAATTCCAACGAGGCGCACAACAGGCAGAGGAAATCGAACCAGTTCCATTGCCAATTCTCCCCCCAGAAATAGCCTCGACATCCTAAGAGCTTGATCTTCAGCAGGAACTCGATGAGGTATATGAAGGCGAAGATTGATTCGACAACATGTCCAGTGGTCTCGTCTGCTACAACATCACTGACCAAAGCAATGGCAATGGAGTTCAGGACAATGACAATGGGTGGCCCAAATTCTAATGCGTGTGCAGCATAGACTCGCCAATCCCTGAGTAATCCAGATTTGTCTTGAGAAGCTGATTGAGAGGACAAGTCCAACTCCTCATCCACTACCAAAGGGGTAGGGGCTCGGAGCAGTACGGGCAAGCGCTTTGCTGAATCTGGCTTCTTCTCCAAAGGTTCTGGATCATCCTGAGCGATGGGAGATAGTTCTAGCTGGACCTGGTTCTGTAAGACCCCCTTTAATTCCAGATTCTCTTGTTGGACTTTCTCTAGGGTCTCTCGCAAGTAGCGAACCTCATCCGCAAGTGCAAAGAGGTGCGCATCGATTCTTGAAAGGCGTTCCGGAGCTTCGTTTGGATCCACCTGGTTCATCTTTGCAGCCTCATCTCTGCCATCCTCTCCATTTGGATGAGCATCTGGTGCCCCTGAAGGAACAGGCATTGGCACTGCATATCACTGCACAAATGAAGTTATGAGCCACATGCTTGAGCCCAAATGCAAATCAAGAAGATCCAAACTTCCCAGTACACGTCAACCTCCTGGCTAACACAAAATCTGGCCTGCCAGCGCAGGCATCTGCCATTTTTGGCAGCAACAAACAAGCTAAAGTGGCCATGGCCTTCCACAGCATCTGCTGCATGTGAGGCCACCTTCCCGGCCATGCCACCTCAAGTGTTGTTGGTCCATCACACGTGGCACACGTCACGGTTGGTTGAGGCCAAGAGGCTGGTCAGGCCCGCCACCTCGCTGGCCGCACCTTTGGCCAACTGCCCCTTGGCCACAAAAATGATCCCTTGGCCACTGTTGGCCACTTATGTTCGGTCACAACACCACCATCAAGAGCCCTGGTTGTCAGGATGGTCATGTCCAAGGCCAAGGAAAGCGTAAAGAATGAGGCAGGTGTGGCAGAACAGAAGCCAAGCAACTGCGATACGGGGGCACATGCTTATGTTAGCTGCATGCTGAGATTCCGCCGCAATCAGTTTCTCTCCTGCAACGGTTGCTCACAAGTGGCGGAGAGATGTTCCCACCTTCCAAGCAATGACATCTCCTGCGGCAACTCCCACCTCACCCGCAATGCTCGCAGCATCTCCTGGTGCTACCTGTCAAACGAAGCATACAAAAAGTGGCCTTCCGTGTCAACTCCCAGTGTCCGTGGAGCCTGGGCAGCCCGCTCCTCAGCAAAAGCCCACCGTTTGCTTACGGCCACTCTCTTTCAAAAGTGGCTCGTTTTCCTTCCTTGAAAGTGGAACGGCCTTGGCAGCAAGGGCAGCATTCGCGGCGACAGTGGCCGCAGAAGAAACTGCCGAGGCAGCACCAGAGGCGGCACTAGCTGCTGCACTTGCAGCTGCCTTGGTCTTCCATTTGATGCAAGCTTCTACCAATGCAGAAACGCCTGAGTCAATGAGGAGTGGGCAGAACCCGCAGCTATCACTTTGGACATGAGCGGATCTAGCAACTGGCCCTTCAACCGTTGGCGTTGACTTTGTGTTTGCATGTGACCTGTTGCTTTGACCAGACCGTAGTCTAAGCCTTCTGTAAGAAAACTTACAAAACGTAGGAAGGAGTGAAGTCCCTAGCTGCTTGAGAAGCTTCGTTCGAGCCAAAATTCAACTAAAGGCGTCATACTGTCGTGACTTTGCACTTATTTGCACAAAAGCCTGCAGTTGGAGATCCAGAAGGTTCCGAAGAACCTGGCATCGAAGCAAGTTGTATGTGTCACATTGTGTCAACAGCTCATACTTTACGATGCTCTCACCTGCAGCTCGAGTGGCACCACCCTCAGACATGGATTGTCGTATAGACATGGGGCATTTTGTAAGACAAAAGGATTTACAAATTCGAGAGTTGCGCAGCATGGTTTCTTCAAGACGTCAGGTCTGGACCGGTCTGGAAAACTACATCACAGCTTCGGGAGGATTTGCTAACATATAATTTCCACATGAATGATTCATGCATGTGTTTCAATTTGTGCACGGGCATGTTAGATGCCAACATGAGGGGTTTGGCTCATGAACCTTCTTAACGGCCTCTCTAACACTCTCAGTCCCGCACCAGCTTTCCCGAGGCCGTCGATGCCAATAGGCCTTCGCTTCCACTTAAGCACCTCAGCTCAGATTGTCCAGAGACCACCCAGGAGACTGTCGGACAAGGTGCTGAGGCCGCTCACCGTGGGCGAAACTCACCATAGTTCACAGGCCTGCCCCTTGGACACATATGGATGCTCGCACAAGAAGTGCACAAAGCGCCAGGGAAAATTAAATCGATTATCTAATCAACTCTGTAGTTTCAATTGGCTGCAGCCTGAGAACATTCTGCAGCAAGTAAATTGTATTTCCCACACCCAAGTTTCGCCGGCACCTCCTTTTTCAGTCCATGCTATCCAACGTGCTCTTGCTAGCTTCAGGTTTCATCTGTGATCTTTCCGGCGTCAGTGCCGACACAGCCTAGCAAAATGGATCGCAAGTGCGGCAGGCAGGTCCAACTTCTTCCTGCCTGTAGTGCCATGGCATTGTAGTGCATCACATTGGGTGGCAACCTTAACAGAATGTAGGAATTGATTCGGGAACTCCACAACTGACCATCGGAGCCGCATAAAGTCACCGACTGCAAATCCCGGTTCAGCTGCTGAAGAGCAAGGAGCGCTGGCTCTTGGAAGGCCTCAGCCAGGGTGCTGACGCCTTCCACCAATGTTGGAGCTGGAGCAAGTTTCACAGCTACTCAGGGGGCGTCCTGCGGCCAGGCTTCACATTGTCGTGCAAACGCCCACAACAAGCGACATCCGTGCTGAAGCAGCAGAGCCTGAGCAAAGGTCAAAGAAACCTTCGCTAGATTTTAACTAACATGCTGTAACATGCTGTAACCAAATTTCAACAGTTGCATTTTGCTGACGATTCATTCTGCAAGACCAGTGCTTCTGCGCCACGTCATGTGGACAACTGGCCATCGCTTTCACCAGCAAAGGCACCGTCTCAATCAAGGCTTTCACTGCCTAGAGTTCTCTCATGCTCTCTGATTGGATTCAGGCGGTGCCCGCCCCCCTGTGTGAACCACTGGCCTCAGACGCTCGCGTCCGCTGAAGCCATAGAGCGGCCACGTCACAAACAAAGCCGAGAGTGGAAACTCTTCCACCGGGCTCACCTGCAGCATTGCTGGCATGACGTGCACAACGCCCTTGGAGTTCGCTACTATACTAGGTTGGAGGCTGTCGCTAGTAGGTTGGAGGCCATCGCTATTAGAAAGAAAGTAGAAGAAAAGGAAGAAAGGTCTAATTTGGTTTGCTTGAAACCTGATGCTATAATGTCACAAAACGGATTCTAGCTCGCCCTACGAGTAACTCCTAGAGTCCGTGTCTCAGCTACTTTACTGAGCTACTGACCCGTCATGGTCTCTCGAATGGACCACTCTAGAGCATCCTGAAGGCATGCAAGAACTATATCCATCTAGAATCTGTGAGCACATGTTTTGCCAAGAAGCTGCTAAGAGCCTCCCATCCAGGCCATCTTTCCAGTAACTGGAAGACCTGCTGATTTTCTACTTGCTAGCTCTTCGAAGCCAGCACATGTCCAAAGATAGGTAGGAGCCACATCACGGAAAAAATAGAAAAAGCCTGGACTCGCCATATAGCGTCTCCTCAGTGCACTAACCAAAACTATGCACATCTTCACACCTGTCAAAACCTTCCAGCTGCATCACATGGTCCATTGGGTCCATACCATGTCGTACCATCATCTGCCAAAGCTCTGACATGAGCCTGAAGACTGCCCTGGCCACATTCGCATTCTTTGGCGCGTGGCGCTGAACGATCTCCGACAAGAGATGGTGCCCATTCAACTGCATCAACTGTTGGCAGCCTCGGAGACACTCAACGATCGGAAACTGTCTAATTAGCTGGAGTCTGCCAAAACTGAGACCCGATCTGTCGCTATCATCCACCATCAGCCACAATGCCTCAAGTGCACCCGCAATCAGTTCATCGCCTGAGTTGCTATACAAACAGAACCTGCGAGATGGAATATGCATCAAGCAGGAGGAAAGTTGAAATCAATGCAACTAGTGAAGAAGGCAGGAATCAAGTTCTCTACTGGCCCGTTTGACCAACAGCCCTGCGGGCGATTTTGGTGATTGGCCACAAGATAGAACCGCAATCTTCTCTCAACACATCTCCACAAGCTTCCAAGAAACTGTCTGATTTCAGCAAGTTGATCGAAACCTGTGTGCAGGCTTGACAAACGGGGCGTCCCACAAACAATTACAGAAGGTTACCCCATCCCCAGCGAGTGTAGCTATGACTTTCTTCACTTCAAGGCCTCAACTCCACCTGCATGAAAGGCAATCTCAGCTGCATCATGTCCTGGAAAGTGAGCTGATCAAAACAACTTGAAGGGGCTGGGAGTGCAAGCGGAATGAAAGCTCCTGGACAGGTGCCCCTATACATAGACATTTAGAAGGTATTACTGTATATCTGTGTATCTTTCTTCTGGGCTTTCCAGCCCCTTCCGTTCGCAATCATTCCGCGTTTACGCAGCCCCAAAACACCCTAACACCGTGCACCTCCTGCTCTCAAAGCTTCGCTCAAGCCATGCACCCGAGACAGAAGATCGAGAGGCAAAAGGCACTTGCCGTCATCACCTAACTGAGCCAACATGTACGCACAATACACTGCATAAGGAGCTAGCGATTTCAGGAAAAGACTGCTTTCGACAATGCTGCATCAGTCTGAACCAAGAGGCGAAGCCGAAGCGAATCAACAAGCAGTTGGACATCTTTCAATTCGGTTCCTCGGTCCGCTTCACAGGACAACTGCCAGTGCCGGTCGGCACACCGCACTATCAGGGGGTGCCTTGGTATATGGCGATTGTGTCCACATCTGGCTGCCATGTTGGCTTTGCCAGGGTAGATGGAATCTGAACTGCATGATCCTCGTCCCAGCTGAAGAAGCGGCTTCAGAAGAACTGCACTGAAACCATGCGCTCCTGCGGCTCCGAGGACTGGCCCGAGGACATGGCAGCATGACCACAGGAACTCATGCCCAAGTGTTCGCTGTCCATCTTGCTGTGAAGATCCATGGCACAACTCCATTTCGTGTCATTGTCTAACCATGTTTTTCATGCAGCATTGTCATCCACACTCCTAGCCTACTATCTCTCTTCATGATGATGCCAACAAGGAGAACCAAGACGTGGCTGCAAAGATCTGCTTGGTCAGTAGATTTGCTGTAAAGGCATGGACCTTAAGTTCCAGAAGCTTCAAACCACAACGGCAATCCATCGAAAGGTACAGTATGTATGGTCAGGCTGTGTCTGTGGGTGTGTCCAACATTTCAGGCGGGGCAGTTTAGAAAACCGCTTCCAATAGCCACATAGGCAACTCCAATCACAAGACATCGCACACATACATCGCAGGCAAAAGGACCAAGGCAGCTGCGAGGACTTCAGCTGAGCCTCAGATGGGGAAGGCCAACACAAACGCCTCGAGCCGCGGGTGACTGAGTTCTCCACGATCAGCATCAAGATGCCGACCAACCTGTCAACTTTTGCCACCAAATCTGCAGGCTGTGGATGTGCTTCCCCGTTGATTGGCAGGAAGAGTAACAGCAGCAGCAGCAGCAGCAGCAAAAACAACAACAACAACAACGCAAACAACAACAACAACAACAAAAAGAAAATAAAAGCAAAGCAAAGCAAAAAAATGCGAGTCTTCTAACTACGGCAAACTGTGGTCTTTACGGTCCACATCCTCGCTCATCCCCTGAACTGCAGGGCTGGGGGAATGGCTGGGAAGTGGTCCGCCCGAGTGTTCCCTCCCACGAGGGGTGGGTCATAGCCATACCGGCCCTCTGACACAGCAAACCACTTACTCACTTACTCAAGATTCAAGATTCCTAAGGAACATGTGCACTTGGAAACAGTTTGCAAGCGAACACCTTCCGAGCTTAACTGGATACCAAGCGCCCATCCTGTCAGCGCCAACCAGACTTTCCCAGCCAGCCTTTTCACATCAGCTGTTGCCCAGAGGGAGGAAGCAACTATGCACGTGCAAAGTTGCAAAGTTAAAAAGGTTACAGCCCCATGTCCTTCATGATGCAGCTGCTCATCTTGACTCTCTGTCCCCCTCTTTGAATAATACATCTTGACGTGGCCTATGGTTTGTGTGTGAGCAAAGCAAGTTCGGCACAAATCAAAGAGAGTCCAGGCTCACGCTCTTCTAGTCTTGCTATGCCTATCACGTAGGTTGCTTTTTTCCACCTCAGGGCGGCATGTCATCCGGTCGAGCCACCCCATCCAAACCAGGCAATCCAGAGCCATACCTAGGAAAAACGAAGGACTGGCAGGCAAATCGAGGTGACAGCCCTAGTGAGAGGTATTGTGAGAACTTTGAACTGGGGCGCTGTGTGTCCAGTATGTCCAAACCTCCCAAACGAGAGTCATGATGAAGTGCCGGAAGCGTCAGCACCTGAAAGACGTTAATTTGAACCCAAAGCTCCCAAGCCCAGATTTTGGATGAATCATGTTGACATCACCCAGCCTCCCCATAGATGGGATCATTCAAATGCCCAAGCGTGTAGGGACTTTCGCTTGCTTCCAGCACGGCAAGGAGCTGTGTGCTGCTGCCTTGCAAGGTGAGTCCGTGACAAGAGCCATTCGATGCTTTATGTTCCACCTCATCAGCTACAGTGGTTTCAGAGATGATGGCACAAACCCCAAAAGGTCGTTTATATGGACCCTCATCGTATTCAAAAAAACGAATAATTAATATATACAGTAAATAAAAAACATGTAGGGGTTTGTGCCATCTACTCTGAAACTACTGTAACTGACCAACGCAACGAAAGCAACAAAGAAAATAATCCGCTGAGTTGCTGTCGGATGCGACATGTGCTCCGTGCCAACTGTCGGTATCAAGCCTTACTTCAGACGAAGTTCCAGCTCCATCAATGGGCAAGGGGTCCCAGCAACTTGGAAGAGGAGACTCGGCACGCGCCTCATCCAGAAAGCCAAAAGAGCCCAAACTTTCCACCAAATCAATTGCTCGAAGCCTCTCCGACAGCTCGAGCCGCAGCAGGCCTTCCGCAGTTTGCAGAAGACCTTCTGGGTAGCGACCCATCGCTTGGGAGAGTCGCTCCCTATCATAATGCCCCTGTGAAATGCGCAAGGCCATGATGGCCACATTGGTCTCGGCAAAATGGAACGGGCGGCAAAAGCACATCATCTCGTAGAGGACGCAGCCCAATGCCCATGCATCAGCTCTCTCGTCATAGGTGTCACCACTGAAGACTTCAGGGGACAAGTAATGCGGAGTCCCAATGAAGGTGGCAGTCCCTGCGGTTGAGGCCTCTGATTCCATCACCTGCTTGTCAAGCCGACAAAGTCACACTGAATGAGGTATGAGGAGCGCTCCTTAGAGCCTCTTAGAGTACACGATGGAAAGGGACATCAAAGTTAGGACGTCCCATATCGTTGCGCGGCGTTTCCCACACGGACGCCCTGGTATTTGTTGCAGAGTTCACACATCAGTTTCCAAGGACATATTGCATGTAGCAATAAGGGTGTGTACACCGTTTCCAATGGAAGCTCCAAATCACAGTCTTGAGTGCAACACCCGTGTATATAAAGTCTATTTCAAGAGGTTTTGAAACAACTCATATGACTCATATGGAATTTCAACACCAACATCACACGTCTCAAACACGTCGGCCTTGGCCACACCAAAGTCAGCGAGCTTCGCTCGAGGACAAGCTCGAGTCACAGAGCTTTCGGGATAGCACAGCCTCGGTCGTGTAGCACACGTAGCAGCTGGTAGACCATCCTACCAAACAGTGAACTGGGGCATAGAATTCAGAATGTCCGCAGACACTACGCTACACCAGACACTACCCTACACTACGCTCACCATTCTCACACATGACCAAAGCCTAACAACCAAGCCACATGATGTTCGCGGGCTTCACATCTCTGTGGAAGATTTTAGGGCGCAGCCCATGCCTTGGATGTCTTTGAAAGATCTGATGCCCTGAATGCATCCAAGTCAAGGATTAGCAGCACATGTTTCAAGAAAGCGGCAGAAATGAAAGCCCTTGTGCCACATCATACGTGTACGCCACCACTTCTGCCTTTGGAAGCCCATGGTCTGGAACTGCCTTGAGGTTGTCAACCGCTGGTGTGAAACAAACACGGCTCATGTTGCCCGCATTTCTGGCTGAAACTGGCCTCTTTGCACAAACGTAGACGGCGACAAAGGTCTCCCAGTGGTGCAAACCTGGGATTCTCTCCAAGCCAGGCTCGGAACAAGTGAAACGAATTTGTGCTGAATTCGTGGCCAGGTCACTCAAGCAAAAGTTCCAGGGTGAGCACTGGTTCTGGGACCATGCGGAAGGCAAAACATTGTAGAATACCCACGCTCTCCTGCAACATGGGCGATGGATGATGTGCCCAGTAGAGCCGCCCTGTACAAGACTCAGCTTGTGAATCAAACAACACAATGTCACAAAGCCAAAACGCACCCTCCCAAAGATCGCGTCCTGACTTAGCTGCCACAGGAGCTGGGCTTCTTGTCTGGCTGTGGCTATGCCCGCATCAGACAGTTGCAAGCGCACCCGCTTCCTCGGCTGGCCAGACCAACCCCCAGGCTGACAGTAAGCTCGGCAAACAAACCACAGCACCATGTGTTTGACGACCCTGGCCGGCCCAAATTTTGCCCCAAACAGTTTTGCTGTGAGGAGTTTTTAATTCTTCCATAGAAACGATGCTGGGCCAAAATGATTCCCGCCCTTTGTCTCCCTTTGTTTCCCTTTGTCCCCCCCTTGTCTCCCTTGACATGTCTGGATGCTGGGCTGAGATGAATTTGCTTTGTCTCCCTTTGTCTCCCCTTGTCTCCCATGGCGTGTCTGGATGCTGAGTTTTGGCGCCAGGAGTGGATCGGCCAAAAAAGAAAACTCCCACTGCCGCTGCTGTTTGGGGTCGATGCTGGTTTAGTTATCCAGAAACGATTGAGGGATCGAACTGAACGACTGCCACATGCAGCTGTGCATCAAAGCAAGATGCAGCTCCCCAGTTCCTGTGTCCTCCAAAGTGGCGGACCTGCTTTTCCTATTAGTCCTATACACTTGGTCCCATCCTTGTTTTTTGAAGCGCTTTGCACAACTCCCCTCATGTTTCAGCAATAGATGCACAACAAGACCCCATCTTCTCTGTCCTTACACTTCACCAGCGAAACCTCGCCAAAGGCACCGCGTCCTAAAAACAGGCATGGCTCGCCGACCTTATCGAAAAGTGTTGTATCAGGACCTGCGGTCCGCATCGCAAGCTGGTCATTTGAGCGGACAGGGTCTGTCACGCAGGCAAAAATGCATGAATGGCGCTCCTAGCCAGACCTCCAGGCCTTCATGTGTGACATGCCACAGGTGTTCCACAGAACCATGTTTTTCTTTTAAATTGCGCGGAACAGTGCGGGGAACTACGTATGAGCACGGCAATGCTCAAGCACAGAAACTGCTCAAGCAATGCAACCACTCTAAAAGGTCTCGACCGTGTGCTTCCTGCTCTCTGCTAGGTGTGTTGCAAACTAATGTGAGGCAGCTGTGACCTGCGACTTGTGCACGGTCTAAGCAGGAAGGTTGGGACTTTCCATGAATTTCTATGTACATTACACTGCTCCGATGCGACTGGCAGACTGATGGCATAGGAGATTCCTGTAATCAAACGCAGTCCGTCCAGGCACTGGAACAATTTGCAAACTATGCTCTGGAGGAGCATGGCCAAAGAGGCTGGAAAGCCGCTCAAAAATGCATCTCTTCCGAAGTGGTTAGTCTTCACCTCGCCACCATGCCCAAATGCAGCCAAAGACCCAGAATAACACTATATATATATATATATACTCTCATGCTCCATGCAAAGGCACCACAATCTTCAAGACATATCTGCGCTTGTCCAAGTGTTTCTATTGTTTTACCCCTTCTGTGCACACATAATCTCAACACGGTATCAGCCAAGGTGCCAAGCATCACCAACCTGCTCGGAGCACTGGGAGATCTTCGGAGCGAAGGTGATGTGTAAGGCCCATCCTGTGATGGCCAAGGCTGCCAAATCAAGCATACTAGCACCTATATAGAACAATTGAAAACCAAAGGTGTGATCCATGTGTCATGTCTCTTCCAATTTTTGTGGGGTTTCAGACGCTTGACCTGTGCACTGTGAGAATGATCCCGCCTCATCCTCACTATCCGTGACATCAATGTGCAAAAAGGTGTTTTTCACTCGAACCCTCAGAATCGAAACAATGCTCAGTCAAGCACCAAAATGATGGCCGGCACTCAGAGAAGGCAAAGGGAGAAACAAAATCCAAACGACACAGGATAAAGTGCATCTAGAGGGCTCAGACTGAAATGGTGCACAGTTCCCGCCGAGATCAAAGATCAGGTTCCCGTCAGGCACTGTAGGATTTGCGATGGGACCTGGGAGAAAAAAAAAACAAAACACATCAAAATACAAACAAAGATTTGCAAGGATTGACGCTCTCACCCTCACCCTGATCCACCCAAAACAATAGAAAATATGGTACAGCTAGGATAGGCTGTGGCCAAGGTGCCCTGAAGTGGGCTCTCTGTGCACGTCGTGCTGTTGTTGCTTGAGGCTGGGTTCCGTTCATGCCATCCATTCCATTCATTCCATTCGTTCCATTCATTCCAGTCATTCCATTCATTCCATTCTCCACTGAATTGGCTGTTCGTGTCCCACCCAAGGTCGTCGGGAAACTGATATTCGACGTACGCATACCATGGGAACATGGGAATTGCCTCTGACCCAAGCCAAGTGCAGCCCTCATCAAACCACGTTGAAGACTTCAACACGTGCTTTGGAGACTTGGAAGTTTGCAACTCCGGCGTGGCCGTGGCCACTTGTGGGCTCTTGCAAGGTTGGATAACTTCCGATTGTTTCGTCTCCTGCTCTTTTGTCTTGGATGCGGGATGGGGTCGGAGCTCATGCTCACCATGGGCAAATTTGCAATAGTCACCATCTCTGCACCACCTGGACTCCATGAAATCGGCACAAAGGCGGGTCTTCGAAAAATCTGGCTGGTGGCGGATCTGCTCAACGCTGTGAGCGAAATTGCAGGAAGTTCCTCGAATGCAGTTTCCAGCAATGTGAAACTTGCACAAGCGAGTTTGCTTGAATGCCTCCAACCGTACTGTTCCCGAGTGCTTCTCTCTTGGCGCAACTGCCTCTCGCCGCACCATGCTTTTTGCAGTGTGCAACAAGGTTGTGGCTTGAACCCAAATCCCAAGCTCTGCAAACCAAATGCGGTTTCAGCAATGCAAAACATCGGGCCTGCATGCGGCGACTTGGAACAAGTACAGTAACTCTGATGATTTCCACTGCCGGGAGCAGCCGTCACTGTCAAAAACTGCAACTGCCACCCTGGCCTTCGACTTCTTCATGGATATTTTTCGCTTCCGAATTCCGAACCACCTTGGTTTCTTTATATGTTTCATTCTGTTTTTTTGTTTCCTGCTTCGCGGGTCCCGCAGCCTGTGAACGGAAATAGTGCGGAATGTTTCTGTGTTTGTTGTACGCGTTGGCCAGCTGCGCTAACACATCGGCATCGTAGACGGTATTCTCTCTGATTTCAGTGGGGGTTTTGATTGAAATTTGAAAATTCCCGTCCTTCTTGAAGTGCTGGCAGGAACGCTGCAAGTTTGAGCGCTGTTCTCATGCGGTTTGGTTTGCAATCTGAATGTGTGTTCGGCACATTTCTGCCAAATGTTTTGCTGCACATCCATTGTTGTTCGCGCAATTTTGTTTCAAATGCGGCTGTGTTCACGACTTGGTATTTCCACCTCTGCGACGGCGAAGTGCTTTTTGGGGCGCATGCCGCATGCCTAAAGTGTCAAAAAATTATGGTCGCTTGGACCCGTGGAGGGTGTTGGAGAATGGTGGGGGCATTGTGGTGCCATGGGCTGTTCCATTGGGTATGTGTGTGTGTGGCACCCTTGGTAGCACAGGGACTCCGTGGGCGCAGGTGGCCCATAGAGCTGCTCCCAACGAAGCTCGCTATGGTGGCTGTAGGGTATGCAGCCTGATCTGCTTGACGTGCCTGCTCGGGTGCTAAAACTCCCCTCCTTACGGTCCATGCTTGTACTTGGAACAAACAAGGTCGGGGTTTTGCCGGTGTCACGAAAAGTGAAATATAGTACTATTCGCGCGGTTGGGGTTAGCATGATTGCTTATGGTTGGGTTGCTAGAGCTCCCGCAAAACAAGAAATCCGACGATTTGATTCTCAAGTGTTCAAACCTTGTCGCGAACCTGTTTGGTCCGGTCGCCACCACAAACGACTTCTACTCACGGTAGGATTAGATCTCCATGTAGGCCTCCGTCAATGCCAACGTACGCTTGCTGCCAGGGCGAGGGCATACTCCAGGGCCCTTCACAGTGTTGATTTCTTTGTTTCTTTCTCGGAAAAGCATGCCCTCAAATGGCTTGAAACTCTGCAGGTGCACCAGGGCCACCTGGGATCATGTTATGTGGACGTGTTCTTACCGCCCAAAGCCCTCATGCAGGTGCCTGACAGCGGCCTCACTCGAAGGTACGCTTGGCCACGTTGTACTGAAGATTTCGTGCTTGCTAAGGAGATGGGTGATGTTCTTCAACTCATCTGGCAGCAACGCGCTGCCGCTGACAGCTGCTGATGGAGATCTGCGGCCGCAACGAGCCTGTGGTTCGTAGCCCTGGCTCAGCAACCGCACTTCTTCTTCTTCTTCTGCGGTTATTTTCACTGCAGGCACGAGCCTTTGCCGCTTTGAGATGTCCGAATTCAAGGTTGTGGAGGTTGAAGGTTTTCGTTTTCAGACCGCTTCACATACCCGCCCTGGTTTCTGAGGCTGGCGTGTGGCAAGCTGCAGGTCGTGTCAGTACGCAATATTTCGAGTGTATCTGGCGTTTGTGCCCGCCCAGGTGCCCCCTGTGGCCCCGTTGAACGAAGGTTTGTCCCGGTTCCTTTTGCTTGGGAGCGTATGCTTCCACAGCGCAGAGGACGCTTACGCCATAGTTTCGGCAAGAGTTACTGAACTATGGCAATTGAGTAGTCAGCCTTTGTGCAGCCAGAACGTGCTCACACCCGCTTTATGCCACGAGGCGAAGGCTTGTTCAAGACCCATTGGGGCCGCCCCATGCCCCAAACAGGCCTGGTCTTCGTAAGTTTTTGAAAGGTTTGGTTTCATTGTTTCCGGCCCTTCCATTGGGTTCCCCTTTCTTGTTTTCCCCGTTGCAAACGGTTTTTTCCTCTTTTATATGTTTTTCTCTTGCGCGCACATCTGTCTAGCCCTTAGTGCGCACACGCATTTGCACTTGAAACCCAAGCCTGGCCGCCCAGGTGGTTACAAGAAGGTTGGGTTCAATCGTTTTCCTTGATCATTTGGTTGCTTTCCATTGCAGCCACATACATCATACATCTGGTCTGTTTTGTCCTTTTTCATGTTTTCGTTTGTTTTTTTTTTTTGTGTGACAACATCGGCCTGCAAATCCGCCCGGGCTTTCCTTCAGCACCAACATTTGATGTTGAAATTGCGATTGGCGAGTCATTTGTTTGAACTCGGGGCGTGCGACGTCGGGGTTTTCACAAATTGTGCTCTCAAATGCACAGCACAAAAAATGCACAACACAAAAAAA